ACTCCATTTGTCCATCGGTACAATAGCGAGTGTATGTGTCTTTGTATTGTGAGCCTTGCAACCAGTCCAAACAGTTACCCCGATGACGTGTGTGTGTCTGTGTGCTACTGTTGCAGTACTATCTCTGTACCTACAGGAAACCGTCTGCCGCGCATAGGTCGTATTTTTTTTTACTCTCAAACGCATCATGGCGACCCATTTTGTACGTAGTTACGAAATACAATGAACACACGGCGGTAATCCGCTTTTGTGTGTACGACAAAATATTATAAATATAAACGACGAGAGGCGGAGACAATATTATTACGGTCACATAGTGTTGTTGAGGAGGGGACGCCGATGATACAACACAGCAAATAGGTACAATTGTGTGGCTGTGACATTCGCCATTTTATCACATCGGTACTTGCTCGCATTTACCTTTTTTTAGATTTTTCTGACGCACCTACGCCTATTATATAGACATCGCACGTTCCGTCCGAATATGAACTCGCGCGGTACGACTCCAANAAATAGGTACAATTGTGTGGCTGTGACATTCGCCATTTTATCACATCGGTACTTGCTCGCATTTACCTTTTTTATAGATTTTTCTGACGCACCTACGCCTATTATATAGACATCGCACGTTCCGTCCGAATATGAACTCGCGCGGTACGACTCCAAACAGCTGAAATACAATAAGTTTCACCGACTAATGTAAATCGTGCGGCCCATAGAAGTATACAATGAGCATCACTTATGGTAACAATTCGTCGCATATCTGCTATCCGAGTACGATCGAATTACAGAGAGAGAGAGAGAGCTCGTAGGCGAATCCATTCATAATTAATTCATTAGCGAGAAAACGCGTCATGATACGTCATTAAAAACGGGCTTAGCCGTGGCGGTTAATTAAATAGCTCAAGCGATTTCGTTGTTGTTCGTGTACACCAACGGTGTTATTTTTCATTCGAGCACGTACATAGAGGTAGGTACGCGTAGGCAGTAAAAAGATAACGAGCAACGTCCAGGCCGTACATAACTTTAGACAATACGCGCAATACTTTATTCGTTCGCGATAAAAAAATATGTTCTATTGCAATATGGTCCAACGTGTGTGCGTGTATTTCATTCAGACGTGCACGTGTTGGTTCAATCGAAACTCTTGGTTTTTGTCGAAATCGATTTACGCCAGCCAAAATAATCCACACGACGCGCCTAAAGTGTCGCTGTGACGTTGATTATCGAACGCTTGAATAACCGAAACGATTTTTTATGTCGATGCGAGTTGCAACGCACGTGGGCTTGCCGTGTTTACCGAGAGCGCCGGCGACGCTGTACCGGGAAAACCAACGACCGCAGTCGGACTGGAAATGAAATGGAAAAACCCATTGCCAGTGTGACTGCGAATGCGCGCGCGAGTTTCATTCGGAATGGAAACGTAAAACGCAAGAGACGACTGCCGGCCCCATTCATACAAACGCGCCGCCGTACAGTGCAAACAACAACAATAGTAGTAGTGAGTGGTAGTAGTAGTACTGTGCAATAACATTTGTAGGTCCGTTTGTCTGACGCTCCCCGACCACCTGTTGGCGTCGTCTCCTCGCCGCAAGTTTTCCCACTGCAATAACACTGTGCACATTCGATCTCGACATTGCCGCGATTGTGTCGTCTCTTTCCCTCCGCCTCCGCAATCGCCTTCATTCATCCGGCGCCAGACAATCAGATAACTTCCACCCACGAGTTTTCCGATTTACAAAACGATCATGGTTTGCCACTTGGACGATTGCTGTCACACTAGTCACGGGTCAGCGCATTAACAACGATTAAAATGCTCAGACATTTTTGTCCTTTTTTCCAAACGCTCAAGTTACGGCTTTAATTAACCGACTCATTATCACACAATCGTATTCGAACGGCGTCAAATGTAATAAATTCATTACGTCAGTTATAAAATAATTGGCGCGTTTCCACTGGAAATAGAAATATAATTAATTAAAAGTCGGGGTACATACGGTTTACATTTATGAGATTCCATGAAAGAATAAATCGTATGAGTAATAAACGTGTTTTGAGTGTTAACAACCGCGTTAATTTGGTGGAAATCGTTGCACTTGAAAATTAACAAGTTAAATATTACATGTATCGCTATAATAGTGGAAACGACGGCACGTTTTCCACGAACAACTAAAAAACTACATCACAATTATTACATTACACGTTATAGTTTTTATTTCCGACTGCATTCAAGGATGTATAACGTAGATCGGAACGTACTCATTGTGTGTGTTTTTTTTTAAGTCGTCTACCGAATATACTGGGGCAACAAATAATGACCGTCTAAAATGTCCTGTACGCACCGTCTGAAAAACAAAGATCGGTAATGACCGTTTGGAAAAATTAAAAAGGAAGTAATTCATTCGGTTATACGTGAAAGATGGCTCCTCCAGTAGAAAACGACCAAGAGGGCAACGTTACATTTTAGTGGGTACTGTTTTATTATTTTCATTTAAGGAAACCTGCATGGGAGCAGCCGGCGTGTGAACCCCTTAAAAAACCAACTGTAGATGTAGATCGGGTTTCTGTGGAGATAAACGTATGCGAGCGCCGCCTGTACATGTCCTTAAACGTCTTTGTTGCGACCGGTTAAAGCGGAACCAATGAACTGCTAATACACTTAACTGTAGACGGTAATAATTAGTCCTACTCAAATTAGTTCGGAAATTGTTTTGTTTAACATACGGACTACTATACACACAGAAACCATTTCTCAGTCTTGGCTTTCGATATATTTCACCGGACTACAAACAAATTGGGAGCCGCGCCAGTCAACAGCCACTACGATAATTATTATCATCATCGCTGTACATTCGAAAAACATTAAGAAACCACCGCTTATTCGACGGTTATTTATTTTATTTATTATTATTATTATTATTTCTTTTAGTAAGCGTTTTGTCCTCGTACAAATTAACTACTGCGCTCTAATAATAACGCTGCTTTGTAACTGACAATAAACCGGATACCGTGGCTTATAATACACAAAAACAAATTCTAAATTGCGCATTGTCTTGTCATTAGTCAATGGAAACAAACGCTAAATATTATTCTGTGGGACCTAGTAGACTTCATAGTCGATCAGTTCAAAGAATCACACGCGCCGAGTCGTTAGATTGATACGAACTATATAATTAATAAAAAACGTAAATGTTGACCACAGTTCTGCGTGAACGAAAAAAGATGAACTTCGATCGAAATCAAGTGTACCTATAGCTGTGAAAAACAACGAAATATTTGCTCGTCAATTTATTGGCAATATTCAAAGAGTAATTAAAATATGAAAAAATATGACTTGTACACAACAAATATATAAACAAAAATACACATTTGGAAGTTACACGCATTTGATAGAAGCCATTTTGAATTTCAATTATGTCAAGGGATGTGGTACAATAAATTACAACAAAACCTGCGTTATTACTCTTACAAAAAAGTTTACATAATATTGCGGGTAGATGCAAATTGGGGGTAATTTGGACAGAGTGAGCGTTTTTGTATAATTCAGTAGCGTTTGTCCATAACAGTATTGACGCTAATTCGTCGAGGGTTTTTTTAACACAACTATATATTATTGCATATTAAATTCAAAAGGTTGAGCGCTGTTCGTTGAATTTATTAAATGATATTAAATGTACACATTCATGTAGTAATTTTTCTTGTACCACCTTAATTGATCCTCGTCATGCTTCTCAATCGCGTGATCTAGTGCAATTTTATGTGTCCCCCGGCTATTATAAAGTATTTTTTTGTAACGTACTCTGCAACCCTTTCGGTTTTCCCCCGAACCTATGTTTCTCCCTTCTTGTAAACGACGAATCGACGGAAAGTTTTACTTTTAATACAGTTAACCCGAACTGGAGTATACGCCCGTATAATGTAATACATTTGTGTGCCATTACATTCTAAATATTTGATTTCCCGGCGACTCTACAGCCGGTCGCGGCCATGTTTAAACAATTTTCTACGGCTATTGAGCGGCAATGATGCAACGATGGTTAAAATATAATACAATAATCATGATGTACGGCACGTTAAAAAATTCATCGAAACGGTCACACGTGCAACAACAAAAACGAGTCCTGTAAGTTGATAAATTCTTTGAATACCGTCTAGGGTTTTTTCAGTTAATCGTTTACCTCGAAAGCTCACGGTGAACTGTCCTGTATGACTGTTTGGGGATGCAACACGTGTTTCGCACCCTCGAAAAGCTTTTGTAAAGTGGGAATCCCTTTGCCACAATAACTGTGTGTATATAGCTGTTAATGCACATCGTATATCAACTAAAAACGCGACGTTAAACGACAATATCAGATCCGCATTACACCCGAGCTAGTTATTAGCCGGGTGGTTTTCTTTAATAGTTGTAATTATTACGAAAGAGCGTACCATTAAAAAACTATGTTATAAAGTAGCAATTACTTGAACACAACGAATGAACGAATATACGTGCAAAGGTGCAGGCAGCGAGTTTTGTGGTGTTTAAGATAACGCGACAAATTATAGGGTAGTAACCGAGATATTAAAAAATTAAAATAACTTTTTGTCTGTCAAAAACAATACTACAACCACAACAATGATATTAATTAATCCTTCAGTTCGATTATAATAACGTTATGGATCCGTGTATAAATTCTATCGATAATAATTAATCGAAAAAAAATTATATACTTATATAAAGTTTATACAGTTAAAAAAAAGATGTCTGACTTTCCACAAACACGTACAATAATAAAGACTATATATTTGTGTACGATTTTTCGATACTTGTGTCAAAATTACACTAGGCGTGCGTATAATTAACGTGTACATTAAAAATACCGTACTGACGTATGGGAATTATCGTATCATTTTTTTTTTTACAGCGTATTTGTTGTTTCCTTTTAATTTAAACGTTTTTAACGCTGTTAAAGAATATATTTTCGTAAATTCAATTGTTAAATACTTTATTGAAATCTTACCTGGCAGTAGTGCAGTCTCTGTAGAGCGTGTCGAAATCCTTGCACGAGAGTAACTTGCATCTGTTGACGCCTGGTTGAATGGCACCCATGCCACGTAAAATGCGTACTTGTTCGACATTGCAAACGAGTGGCACGATGTCCAGCCGCTTGAGCTTGGTGTAAACAGTGTGCAAACCACCGACAAGGTGTTTGAGGAACAGCTCAAACGCCTGTGGAAGGCACAGCATTGTGTCGCCTGCTATCATGAATGCCGCAACTTTTTGCCCGCGGTACTCGACCAACTTGCATTCGTTTGCTGTCGGGTCAGTGCTACTTATCGGCGGAGGGCTGTTGTAAGACCGCGGAGGTGGTTGCAGTGATGGATGCTGTTGTTGTTGTTGTTGTTGCTGTTGGTGGTGATGTGCCATGGCCATTAGGTCTAGAGGTGAAGAGTGGTGCACAAGCGAATTGAACAAACCCATTGGTATACGGGACGCCAGAGAGCTCATTGAAGACACTGGTGGAGCGGTCTGTGTTGGCGGACTCATGCCGCGGGTTGGCGTTATGATGGCATGATGGGGATTTATGACATTCATCATTGGACTGCTGCCCCTTTCGTCTTTCGGACTGCTTCCGGCAGACTTGCCGTTGTTGTTTGACGACGGCGTCTGTTGTTGCTGTTGAGGTGGCGGACTAGTGGACACATTGCTGCTGCGATCGCTTCCGGATGCGGCCGATTCCGCGGCGGCGTTTGTCGATTCCATGATCATGATGCGAATGGTATACGTGTCGTTTCAGGTGTATCCGCGACGGTGGCGGCTTACAATGACTAGCCGAGCGGAGCAATAATATTGGGCGGGCACTCAAATGCACATTCGCAAAAGTTTCGCGTGCGCAGTCACACACACTCAAAAGTCGTACCTTCGAGTTGTATTCCGATTCTACCAAGCGCGCAAAATCGATTTTCCCGAAATAATATCTTCTCTATCTATTTCGTCTAAATGGTCTTCGATCACGTCGATAATATTAAAAATAGTAATCAGAAACGATAATACACGGTAACGGGCAACGTGTATTGACTTGCACCGAGTGCGCGCAACGCGGTAGTGCCGGATAGCAGCGACCGGGCTGACGTACGGCTAGAACGCGACTGTTGCGGGCGAGGCTGAGAGAACGGTACCGTGTGGTTTGCCGGCGGCGGCCGTCGGTCGTGGATCGCGCTGGTCGTTTCGTTTTCGACGGCGCTGGTCGCTCTTCATTGGTCCATGAACCCGGACCCGCCCATCACCCACCTGCCCCCTCTCCACCAAGACTCCTCCTCCTCATTCTTTTTTGGTCACCGCTTCTCTGCACCGCATCTCATACAATACGAACACACACAACCGCAATAACAATTCTACGCGTTCTGCAGTCCGTTTGTTCATTTTTCTTTTACCGCCTATTCTGTTACACATACATACGACGGTGTGGCCCCCCTGACCATCCCTTTTTACACTTCTCTTTGCATAAAAAAATACCATTTAGCTGGGCGTTACCACCCTGGCTCCGGGACAACATCCCAAAAAGAAATGGGTCAAATGTAATAATATTAGAACCATTCGGAAAAAATTAACGCAAGTTCGCTCTCCGTGGTCGGAATCGATTTTTCCTCCCATTACCTCCCCTGACAGTCGCCCATAACGCTGAAATCAATCTAAAGCGTCTTTTTCGAAATGTTCAAGTAGATTATATGTAACTTAGACATGCGAAAATTGGTTCCAAGACGATCGAGATAACTTGACACACATTCTGCTTTCCGTTTAAAGTCAATGTTTGAGTTAAACAACAAAGGGAAAAATTTTAACAAAATAAACATTTTTCGGTATTGATTATGGTAGACCATAAATATTCACATTTAAAGCCAAATTAGTCAGTTAACTTGTTTATTGATTTTAAAAATATTACATAAAGTGTTAACAGTGTAAAATAAACAAAATTAACAAACAAGTTTAAGCATTATAGTAAATTCAACTATGCCACACTTTATGTAACTTACTCTAAACTGGAAAACCCAACATCAATAACTAAATCCTAATAATTGTTTACATATTTCTTGAATAAGACAATTGTTAAACCCTACAAAAATTAAGTGTAAAAACTATGTTGTAAATTAATTTATGTGTTATTTAAATATTATAAATTGCATTAAGTATTTAATATACTGTGATGCAATTTTAAACATTTAAAATTATTTAGCATGTATGTTTTATTTGGAGATAATAACTTTAACTGGTTATAATTTACGACCTTTTACACAATCACAGGTGTTTCGGAGGATAATCACCTGTGTAGTGTTTTATAGTGTAGTTTTTTATGATAACAAATATACATGCGCAAATATTGTTGAAATTTCTTCTACGAACAAATATAAAGAATAAATACATTAATACATTTGAAATTTGATAAAATTCAAAATGTATACAAATTAATTATAAATAATATAATTATAAACAAATAATAAAATTAAATACAATATTTTCAGAATAAAAAAATATAGTCTGCTATAGATTTATTGTGTCTAACTTTTGTTTTTTTTTATAATAGGGTAAGAGAACCAATTATACCTTAATTACCTTAGCACTTATTAGGGCAACTTGATACTTGATCAATAGATCATGAAATAACATAGACTAACACTTATACAATGTCTTCTTGGAACGAAATAATTTTTATAATCACAATTATGAGTTTTAAAGCATATTGGATTCAAAAATGTTTATAAATATTTTTTTAACCAGTTAACTTAATTTGTAGCCACGAGTGGTACAGTGGCCAAAATTGAACAATACACTCAAATTAATAAGATAAAAAAACAATGAAAATACTTTTTTAATTTTGATTAAATTAATAAGTTGATGAATAGTATTGGCATGCTAATTTTGGATTTGCTTATGTCATTAAATTGTACGAGAAAAACCAAACTGGCTATCACAGTGATGACCGCTGGCAAAATAACCGCGTTAAAATGATGAGGTGTGTTGTTTATGTGGAGTGTTATTAATAAAAATATGTAAAATGCGAACATGTATACATTTTTAAATCTTTACACATCTATTCAAAATCCATTTGGGGAACGTATAATAAAATAAAAAACAGCTCTTCATCCGTATGTACCCAATGACATGGCGTTTTATCCGCACCCTTTTTCTGCTGACAATAGAACGCAATGTAACACACGCGTATGACGATAAAAATTCAAAAATAATTATTATCAACGTTCAAAAACCATAGCTGATATAATAAAAGAATCCGTCTTATAAACGTGTGCATTAATTTTGCTCAGTAACGACTCCACTGAAAAAGAAACAAATAAGTACACGCGACCGATGTATTGAACTCATCGTGTGTAAGTCATTAACATTTCAATTGATTTTCCGGTAGGTGAAGAGCAACTTACATAACCTGTTTTGCTTCAGTTGTATTTTTTTAGTACTTCGTCCATTATGTCATTATTTTCAACCGAGAAAATGTTGAACTATTTTATAAAATTAAGTAACCTGGCTGAATTGATGAGAATTTATAAAAACCACTCTAAGTTTGTTTCAAAATTAGTTTACTTGGTTGAGATTAATTTTTACAACAGTAAATGTTGTCGTCAAAATATTTAATTGAATTTTCAACATTTTAATTAACGAATATTTTTTGTTTATTTTATATAAGGAGGAATATGTTAATGCTAAATAAATATTAATAGTAAATGACATTTTAGGAATGTTTGCATCAAAATTTATAAAATAAAATATTCTAACTATTATAAACGTTTATACGTCATAACCTTTTACTTCTCAAAAACCGTGCACGGATTTTTAGGAATATTTTTATATTATCATTTTCGATAATATAAAAAAAAGTTTAATTATTTTACCAATCTTTTTACAATTTTTACTATTAAAAACTGTATTTGTCTATACTTTTTTTTTTAAATATCATTTAATAGATATGACACCACCGATTATGAATATTTATTCAGATCTATTCTCTCAGTTTTATTTGAGATGTTGTGGACAAAATAAATATATGAAAAATTATGGGCAGCGATGAATTAAATTTAAAATCAAATTAGCATAACTTTTCTTAAATTTCAGAAAAATTACATATAACAAATTCCTCCTAACGTTTTGTTTAAATTGCGTCTACGAGAATAACCCAACCAATAAACAGATAGACAGTTAAGTTATATTTATTTATTACCGTCAAGCGGGCCAACTTAGGGTAGTTAAATATTTTACAGATTTCATCGCTTAATTTTTGTCAATAAATGTTTTGTATTTCTTAATAACAGTTTTAAAAATTTTGTAGTAAAATTTTTACAAGTATCGTTAAGAAATACTAGCTAGTGCTGTACATCTTTAATGATAATAGATTTTTAACTGCCCTAAGTTGGCCCATTTGACAGTAGTAAATTTGATGGTACACGGGCAATAAAATTTTTAACATTATCGTTTTCATAAACACAGAAAATACACTAATTTAGAACAATAACTCTTGGTAAATAAAGTACAAAATCAAATTTTTATTGCATATTATACCGTGTAGCTGAGAAATAAGTCACAAGCGCAAAATTTACTTATATTTTTTATAAAAGCATCACTGAGTTCATCCGGAAAACGGTAAAATTGTTCACCAAATTGAAATACTAGAAACATATCTTCAAGTGTTTAGCAACTGGAAAATTTAAATTAATAATGGTAAATTTTTGAATTTATGTATTTATAAGCGCTCTCCCCGAAAGGAATGCGGAGGATAACTTTTAATTCTCATTCAAATGAATATTCTTTATGTGTATAACTGTTTCAGCTGCTTTATTTTATGTTTTTTTACAATCAATTAAACGACTGTATATTAAATATTTGTTTTTATTAGACTATATCCATTTTTACTATTAGAATAAATGTTGGTTACACAAAAATGCTTCTGCGGGTTATTTACTAAACACTTTTTGCGACAAAATATCAGCATACATTATAATCAATCAATATGCATGCAATTATATAGAATAGTGTTTGTATACATAATTTGCAATTATATTTATCATTAATATTAATCTTGCCGACATAATACACTAGTAACCAATTTTTTTCTTTTTACTTATATACTTAATTGGATCATTTAATAGTACCTTGCGTCCTTTTATAAAAATTTATTTTTATCTGTGTAAGCATAAAATAAATAGGTTACCAATGCATACAGTGTGGTGTATACCCTCCGGTTCTGTCAGCTGTTACATATATTGTTATAATTAAACGCGTTAGAATCAGATTGTAAAACTAAACGTACAAAATACTTCATAAAATTGAAATAGGGGAGAAAAAAACTCAGGGGTTAAAATCGAACAAAGCGATTAAAGTGTATCATTTTTTTCTTTACGTTAAATGTATGGTCCCTTAAACACATTTTAGAATTTGATTTACTACAATATAATATACACAAGGTATAGCAACAATTTTTCGATTGCCCTATTAACGTTTTGATTGAAAGACTTGGCCCGGGTTTTGAAACGATCTCACAAGTCTGTGTAACATAAAGTTGGCATATATTTTTGAAATAATACTTGATAATGTATGTAAGTTAATAGTGAAAAAATTAAACAACTACAGTTCGAATAAAAATAATTTTTAATTTAATGCTGTAAAGGAAAATAAAATATTTAAAAATAGTAAGTTTTAACTTTGAATGAATTATTTTACAAATTTAATGAGAATTCACGTTTTGTTTATGCTTAGAATTTTTATTACCCATAAACTTGTACTACAAAAAATGTTTTTATTGGAATTTAAACTGTACATAAGTTTAGGGCAAACGATAAAATTTTATGACTATTATTTTTATTTTTAAAAATAATATATATTAGAATTTTTTTTTTATTAATTTGGTCTCTATTTGATTTAAACGTTAAATTTTTTCTACTTAATTTTTTTTTCACAACTATAAGTCATACACGTTATTATTTCACATAGAATTTATAACGCATTTAATGTATGCATCATTTAGTATTATTTCGTATTGGAGCTACACAATGTAATGTGAAAGCCCTAAGCTGATTTAATTAAAACATAATATCAAGATAAGAATTTAATAATATATGCTTTCATCTATTGATCTATATAAGTATTTATATACATACC